GCAGCACCAACAGAAGAGCAAAAGAGTCCAGAAGATTTAATTGAGAAGATAATCACGACCAGTAAACTACCGACTTTAAAACCGGTAGGATTTGATGGCGACCCGAGAATGTGGGGCCAGTTTATTAGTGAGTTTGAAGAGTCAATTCACAAGAGAACGGATTTAGCACCCACAGAAAAATTCATGCATCTGTTAAGCAGTTTGAAAGCAGAAGCAAGAGAACAAATAAGTGACTTCATGGTAAATGAAGAAAATCACCCACTGGCTCTAGAAAATTTGTATGAACGATATGGTGATAAGAAATAAAGGACAAAGGAACTATATAAAAGCTGAGAGAATTCGATGCTCAAATAAAGAACCGTTTAGAATAATAAGGGAGCTCTTGAACTTACTATCTCAATTAAAAGGATTGGCAGAAAATATAGAAACAACACAACTGGCGTGATGGTAACTAATAAAATATCAGAAGACATGGCTAAGAGCCTAAGAAGTACAGGAACCCAGAATGGACAATGGAAGATACTATTATATATTTAATGGAAAAGATGAAGATCGAAGAATCTGAAGTGAAATCATCGGAAAAGATGAGAAGCTCAATAGACAGGATAAAGATGCAACGAGCAAGATCAAATGAAACAAGATTCACGAACTGGGAGAGTAGTATCAGAGTTCAAAAATTTGCTCAACAGCGAAGGAGAGAATATGTCCCAGCAGAGTGTCACAAAAGAAAGAGGGAAGTCGATTACCGTGTATTTTTTGTCAAGGTAACCATTGGAACGACAGATGTGACGCATACTCTACTGTTGACGAAAAGATGGAAAGATTAAAGAAATTGGGACTTTGTGAATTATGTTTAAAAAACGACCGCTCACAAGAAACATGCATGAACAGAATAAAATGTTTTTATTGATAGCGCTTTGTGTAGGAGACGCAACGAAATGAAGAAGCAAAGCAAGGATTTCAAAAATAGTGAAGAAACAAACATAAGCTAGAAAAGACATTTAACCAACAGGATGTCATAAAAGTATCTCGATGGACGCCGCAACAGTGCTGCGAGATACATGTGTTTGTAGGCGCATCCCAAAGAGCTGTAGGATTAGCAGTATACGTACGCAGAAGTAATATCACTCCAGCCAAACCACAATATACGGTGTCGTGAAAACGAAGCCTCAAATAAATTCATTCACATTGTAAATTAATGCTAATGAT